CTCTCTCTCTCTCTCTCTCTCTCTCTCTCTCTCTCTCTCTCTCTCTCTCACACACACACACACACACACACACACACACACACACACACACATTGTATACCGCGTGGGCGCGGGGAACGCAGCCCTAAAGTAGCTGAAGCGATTATTTTGTTGTCTTACAAGAGAGAGTATTTTACTCTTAAGCCACCTCTCCCCCCGATGGCCAAAAGTCAGGGGGACCGGTACGGCGTTTTTCAGAAAAGGCATCTGTACTACTGGTAGCAGTAACTGTCACGACCTGTGAAGGGGTCTAAAGCCTGCCCCGACCTGTGAAGGGCTCTGTACCTCTATACCCTGCATAAAGACAAAAGCGCGAAAAAAAAAAAATACAAAAAAAAAAATAAATAAATTATGAGCCCGAATGGCGTTGAGGTATGACAAAGAGAATCGAGCCTTTGGGTAAAACGAGCCGTTTTCGGAAAGCACAGCAAATACGGTTGTACACATTCCTTTTTTTAGGGGAAGATTCATTCTCATTTTGCACATGTGGTGAGCAGTGCAACAAGGGCCGTATGTTCACAGCTGCCCCATCTGACAACCCGCCCTCACTCCACTACTCACCAGCAGTGCGAATTAAGAATGAATCTTGCGCACAGGAATGGAAAGATACACATCCATATTTTGTGAGTTTTGTGCCCGTCTCTTTCTTTTTTTTATTATTATATATATATATATATATATTTTTGCCCGTTTTGCAACTACCCTCCACTAGCGCAAAAAAACAAAAAGAAGGGGAATAGGACAAACTCATCTTCGTGTCTACTTCCTTTCCAAGATGAAACCCTCTCCTCCATGGATATGCCTTGTCCTACGGTGAGATAAAGTTCGACCCGCTATGCCCTCCAAAGCGGGAAGAGGACAACTTCCCTACAACACCAGGTGAGTGCATCTGCGCATAAATACAGGGAGATTCATTCTCTTAACTTGCCCATTGTTTTTCCTGCATGCCCGGACGGGGAGGCACACTTTTTCATGGATGTCTGTACGACGCGTTTCTAGGGGAGAGTCAGCAATGACGGCGCCAGCAAATGTATGAGAAGTTTTTTCCTTTCGCCTTTTTTTTTTGGGGACTACAGGTCGCTGACCTCCCCCCAAACCCGGCCCTCACTACCCGGAAAGCAGACTTTTAGCCATCGGGGGGAGTGGTGGTTTAAGTTATAGTGCATCACACACACAACAAACTGAAAGTTCTAAATCTTCGAAGGTCGTCACTTCTTGTAAAATATGTAATATTTTTCTTTTGATTTTTCCGTAATGAATATTTTTAAATGCTTCGTAATTTTTAGATTTTTTAAAAGTTTGTGTTCTTGCGACTGTCTTTAATCTTTTATATTTTATTATTGTTGTATTGTTTTCGTCATTTAGGTGAAGCTATTATTTTGTGGTCTTACAAGAGAGAGAGAGAGAGAGGGGAAAGTTTTTGAATTATGAATTGTAGGATTGGGTAAATGGTTGAAATGGTTGTTTGAAATTTTTTGTTATTTTTATTGGGAAAAGCTAGGGTAATGTATAGATTTTAAATGTTAGTTATTTTTGCTTATTGCTTAGAGCACAAAAAATTGGGATAGTTGGTTGTTGCAAATTGCTTTCAAAAAGTCACGGTTGTACGAGAGGTAGTTGCAGGTAGCTTGTAATGAGAGAGAGAGAGAGAGAGAGAGAGAGAGAGAGAGAGAGAGAGAGAGAGAGAGAGAGAG